AAAAAGGTGCGTTTCTATAATTCTTCCTATCATTATGACCAAGTTGCGAAAACCAGGTCAAACAACTTCTAAATCTTCCTATACTTGCTTAACTTGTCTCAGGAACCTTAATCCTGCTCTCAATGTAGTGAAGCATCCTCTTGTATCCACAATTTTTCGTAGTTGAGTTCCGCGATCAAATTCCTTTGCATGTGTTGACTATGCAACTCGTATATAACTGTACCGTATTTTCCAAAAATTTCTAAACGTCCAATTCACTTTTAATTCGCCTCTAATTCATTTTTCTTTATTTCAGTCCGAGCCCCTCATTGATCTCTCTATGTTGCCAGACAATTACTCGAATGATTCATGGACCCTCGTCATGACATCTCCTGATGAGGTTCTCGCCCATGAAGGCGATGAACTCGAGGCCCCCAGAGAGTATATCCACTGGATGATGTAACTTACGTCAGACTATTATAAATTTGTTGTTTTATTTAAGTACTCTAGCCCATTTATTTTCCATAGCTTAGGCCAAACTTCATTTCTGAGGTCTGCTGTCAGTACGTAATCCGTTCTCTTCTCTACTCAAATTCATTTACAAGTCGGCACGTCACTGGCTCTATTAAACATAGCCTTATAATGATGACTGTTTCACTTGATTAGTAGAGAAAGTAAAATTAAATCTTTTATTCGATTTACTTGTATCGTTCTCAGCACCTGAAGTACAATAGGAAAGCATTGGTTATCCCACTAATTGTCTGACCACTGATAGTTATGGTCAACTTAGTAATAACAAAAGTTCAATGATGCATCGAGTTAAGTGATAGACACGTCGGTTCCTATCGATATAAGAGTCTCTACTAGAGGTGCGATTTAGACGGGATTGGTCTTCTCTTGAAAATAATTTTTTTCTTCATCTCTAAATAGTGCTATGTTCATGCGACCATAGTGTAATGTTTGTGCACTTCCATGGCTTAAATCATCCGGACTATGCCGATAAGACACATTCCAGGTAGAATCTGTTGTCGGCACTTAACGAGAGAACTTCTGAAAGCGATATACGATAACATTTAACGGCCAAATCAGGTTTACTTTCTTTTTTATTTCTAGTAGTATCTTACCATTACCTTAACATTTAAAGAACAATACAAGTCTTATTTCTTCATGCATAGCAATCGTTAATCTATTAATTAGTCTTTCATGAAAATTAAAGTTTTCGCGGGGCATATTCATAGTGATGATAATTTTGTTTCAATACTAGTGCTTTTATTTAATGTTTTGATGTTTTACATTGTAACCTGTTTTTTGTTGAAGACCTTGCTTTCTAGAAGGCTTTCTCATCCATGTTGAACTGTGGCTCCAACTTCGCCCAGGTTTTATTACCATCGTTATATGTATCCTAAAAGTGCATTACCAACCTAGATTGATAGGAGTTTAACTTCCCTCCCTTAGGCATATTATGAGGCAGCATAGCAGAAGTTGATCTAATCTTATACTAAAGCCAGACTAGAGAGGCTGGCGTCGGCCGCTATGAGCCGTTCGTCCATCTGAATCCCATGAAACAATTCGAACATGTTCTATTCAACCGCTAAAGTATGTGCTTCGTTTGGTTGTTCTGCTCTTGGGCATAATCTTAAGTCGAGAGGACTTTGGAAACCATATTATTCTAGCTCTTTTGGCTGAGGGAATTCTTCGTATTTATTACGTGTTGAATGTCGATACTATTAGTCAGTATCATTTTACCTAGTATCCGGCCATTTTTGACAGATTTCTTTTTTATAGATTAGGTTCGACTTGGTGCCATAAAGATATTATTATTTATTAAGTTGCATTACTAGCATGCTAGCTAGTACATAATATGCGCCATTTTTCATCCACTCATCTAATAAAGGTCTGAGTAGCCTTGCCAAATAGTCTTATTCAAGCTTTCTACTTGCTACTAGGGTACAAAGTACAAATTTGTCTACCTATAGCTAGATAAAATCCATTAGAGCAGTGATTATCAAACTGTGCGCCGCGGCGCCCCGGGGAACCGCGGCCTCTTTACAGGGGCGCCGCGAAATATTGTAAAAG